TCTGGGTGACAGAGTGAGACTCCAACTCAAAAAAAAAAAAAGATGTAGAAAAGGGGGCCACGAGCCAAGGAATGCAGGAAAAGGCAAGGAAACAGTCTCCAAAAAGGAATGCAGCCCTGCTGAGACCTGGATTTTAGCCTACTGAGACCCTATCAGTTTCTGACCCACAAACAGGAAGACAGTAAATGTGTGTTGCTTTAAGTCATTCAATGTATATGGTAGAAACAGGAAACGAATATAATCTCTACAGACAGCAGAACTCTAACAACTTCCTTCCCCCTCTCCCAGACTCCCTTCTTACCCCCTTCATTCCTTCTTCCCCTTGGGTTCTTTTCGCTTCTGACACCTTCCAAGTGCAGACTAAATAACTAGATTTCTCTGAAAGCAAGCTGGCTGATTTTGCATGGTGGTTTCTAGAGCAATGAGTAGTGTCTCAAGGCAAGAGCCAACCTCAGCAACCCATTCAGCAGTCCCAAAGGGGAGTTCACGGAGCCTCCTGTTCCCGTGAGCTGAGGGTAGTGGCGTGATGCCTTTGATGAGTAAGGGGACAGGCAAGCCTCTCCTCCAGGGAGGAGACAGGTCTGGGGATGAGATCTTGAGACCTGAATTCTAATCTACATCAGTGAGCTGTGTGACCTCCCCCTCCCCCCACCCAGCACAAAATAGCCATCCTGCCTTGCCTTTCCCCCTGGCAGCTCGGAGGATCACGTGGGAAAATGCAGGTGAAATGATCTGGGACTTGCTATTTCTCCACCTGACTGGGAGGGAGAGTAGTGGGGTTGCTAGACCGGTTTCTACTTTAGGCTCTACCACAAATCATCGTGTGATCTCTGAGAATGGGTCACATGAACCCTGAAGTCTCTTGTTTTCTGCCTGACTTCTATCGCCACCTCCTGGAAGGTGCAGGTACTACACCAATCTGCTCCCCAGGTCTCCTTTCCAGGTTTTCAACCAAATTCTCTTCCCTGGGCCCCACCTCAGACAGCTTCCTTAGACTAACGGTGACAGCGCCTGATGGTGGCTAAGTAGGTCAAAGAATCAGGTGCCAAAAAGGGCTTGGATCCTGATTCACTATCTGAAAACAGAGGATGGGTTCCCAGCCCTATGACCTTCCAGTCCCACTGACTCTAAGGATGTGGGGACATGTCCCACCCAGGCCCTCACCAGGGAAGCGCTGGCTCCTGCCCATCCAGGAAGGCCTCCTCTTCCCTCCCAGAGCACCAGACTCTGCCCTCCCCAACATACAAAACCTCCCTGCACATGGAGGAGGTGGGGGCTGAGGGTCTGAGCCTCAGGAAGGAAGAGAAAGAAAAACTTTCAACTATTAAATCTGTTTAGTAAAGACAGTTTTGCTCATACAAAACAACAGTTTACAACAATCTGAGTGCTGGACATGCCATCAGAGACAAGGGAGGCGCTGCAGGCACCTGGAGCCCTCCCACCATGTGCAAAGACCCTGGTGCCTCTCCACCACCTGCCCCTGAGGGAGAGGAAAGCCGAAGTGTTCCTGCCACCTCTTCCCCCAAGGGAAGAGGGGGTAGGGAATCATGGCAGAGACCTTTCCCCAGCAACTCCTCCTCTTGTGCTGGGGGAGGTCCCTACCCTCCCTGGCCTGAACACAGGGAGCTGAGTAGTTTGGGGGTGATGGCAAATGGCTGACGGGCAAGGGGGCAAAGTCGGGATATCTTTGGTGAAAAGACTCCCCCCACCCACCAGGCCACACAATGGAAATTTGAGGGAGGATCACAAAAGTGGCCCTGCCTTTGCCCACAAGGGGTAGCTAACTGATGCCCCCAGAGCCCAGGAGACACACAAGAAATGCAAAATCTTTGTCAATGTAAACTGCCCAGGCTCACCCACATGAGCTGAGGCAGCCCCTGGAGAAATGGCTAAAAATGTAAGAAAAATAAACAAGAATGGGCTAATAATGACAAGAAAGGGGTGTAGGAGGTTATTCAGAGATGAGCGCCTCAGAGGACCCAGAGCCAGCACTAAATGAAAAGGAGGTCCTGGGGGCCAGGGCCAGGGGCCAGTCTTCCTGATCACCGTGCCAGTGCCCAGGCACTCCTCTCAACCTCCCGGAACCTGGCTAAAAGGGACAGGCCTTAGAGGGCCTGACTCCGAATCTGGATGGGCTTCCCAGGCACTTTGGCAGGCTCAGTATGAGCAGGGGGCCCAAGAAGGGAGAAGGTTCTTGAGCCACAGCAGGGCCCCCTCCCTCTGCAGCCCTGCCTGCACGATCCCAGGCACAGATCTGGGCGCACGTGCGCGCACGCACATGCACACACACACACACACACACACACACACACACACTCCTTATCTGTTGGCACGCTGGTGATGTCTGAGGGCTTCAGGAGAGGAGGTGAGTAGCATCCTCCTCCAAGGTGGCCTTGAGCTCCCAGAACACCTGAACCAGCAGGAACCCCAGACTGTCATGAGGAAACAGGGAGGGCAGATGGGACAACACGGGGACACTCCCTATCACGGTTTCCACAAACACCCTTTAACAAACCCCAAGCCTTTGCAGTATCCAGAGCGGAAGGGGTCTGGTGGGAAGGAGGAGTGGGGAAAAGGACAACAAAAGAGGTTTCTTAAAAATTCTAAGTCAAATTACTGATAAAATTGCAAAATGAGCACAGGTTCAAGAGCACCTTGCTCGCTTCTCTCCGCAGCCTCCCAACTTCCCAGCTTCTCCCACTCTGGGGTGGCCAAAACCAAAGGCAGAATTCAGCCACTGACGCAGTTCCGGGCTCCATGCTGCTGAGGAGAAGAGGCAGACGTGGACAGTTCTTTGTCTCTTCGGTTTAAAAATATATTCATGTAGAGAGTTATTGCTTGTCCTCCAGTGAGCAGGAGGGGCTCGGCGGCTCAGTGGGCGAGGGCCGCAGCCTCCAGGGCCCGGGCTTTCTTCCGCCTCTTCAGAAGCAGAGGGTTGGATGCATCTTCAATCTTTTTTATCTTGATCTGCTCATAGTCAACGCGCATTGTGGCCAAGGCACTGGTCATTTCCTCCTGAGGGCAGGGTGGAGGGAAGCACAAAGAGAAAGCCAGAAGACAAGAGAAGAGAGACCAGAAGAGAGGTGAGAAAAAGACACAATAAGAGCATGGTGAAGGCAGTGGGGGTGGGGGCAGAGAATACCCAGACTAGTCCGCAGGCCCACACTACCAACAGTAGCCTCACTGCAGTGCTGGGCAGCAGAATACCATGCTATGCTGTTCTAGAAAGAGCCCTGAACCTCAGAAGCCAAGATGGCCACTTACAAAGTAAGAAAGAGCCCTAGACCAGCAGCTGGGAACCTAGGTCTAGTCTGCCCCAGCCGGTCGCCAGCTGCGTGACCTTGAGTAGGTTGCTCCCCACCTTTGGGCCTCGGTTTCCTCTTCTACAAAAGATCCTGACAGCCGGCCTTTCAGACCCCGTCAGTGACCCAGGAAGCAGGCCAGCAGAGTTTAGACAAGAACCCAGAATCCTCTGCCCACAAGCTGGTCAGGGAAGTGGCTTAGGTCACTGTTCCTGTCGTGATGGAGACACGCTTGGGATGAGAGAAGCAGAACCAAACTCCCCCCTACCAGTGGCACCGTCTCCTCCCGCCTGGGCACTGACAGCGAGCACCCACCCCCACCCGGAGCCCCTCTTGCCCAGCAGTACCCTCACCTTGACATCTTCCCACCGCTCCTTGTCCTCCTTCAGGACTCGGCTGGTGTGCAGTGGGGTTTGAGGGACCTTTGTTGATTGCTGAGGGGAAAGAAAAGGAGTCCGAGTGAAAGCCTGGGGTAGGCAAGACCTGGCTAATGCCCCATTCCGAGGGACAGTCCCGAGACCCAGGTCTTCTCAGCCTGCCAGACTTACCATGATCCAGGGGTGGTTCATAAACTCCGTGATGGTCATTCTCTGAGTGGGCTCTGTTTTCAGCAGGTTCCGAATGAGCATTTTCACTGTGAGGGTGGGGCAGGGACCAGGGTCAGCTCAGGAGCCACTCTCCCTGTCCTGCAACTTCCCTCAGTTTTCAGGGGGAAACCAGGTTCAAAGAGGAGTTGCATGGAGGACTGCACAAGAAACTAGCCCCAAGGACCATAATGGCTCTACCACGTGATAGGCCTTGCATAGCCCCATGGCCTGGGCCCTGCTTCAGGCCCTTCACACAGGCAGGACATACCCAGCAGGCACTGACCCATAGTTACAATACCCACATGAGATGGCTGCCCACACATACAGAGACGGTTGCCCAAATGTGTGTACGTGCATGTGCGCGTGTACACACACACACACACACACACACACACACACACACACACACTCTTCCCCATGTCCTGAAAAGTTGGGTTCTTACCTTCTTCTGATACTTCTGACCACTCTGGGTTGGGAAATTCATACTGGCCCATTCGGATACGAGTCTTCATGCCCGGAGAGATGGCAAGGCCATGGTTGGAATAGAAAGGGGGATACCCACACAGCCTGTATCAAGAGGAGGAAGGGAAGTGGAAGACAGCAGATGTTCTTTAGGGGCTGTGCACCAGGAATAGGGTGAGAAACAGGCACTTCTCCTTGTAAAGGTTACAAGGAAGGAGGCGCTCACTGATGTAAGCACAATATACAAAGTCAGGGACAGGGTCCGAGAAACCAACATACCAAGCATCTAAACCACACACTTTCCCACACACCAGCCAGTTTATACCCACCACTCAGCAATCAGAATCCACTAAGCACTGATAGCAGGGGCCATGCAGGGGATTCCCAGGGAATGCCCCATCCAAAAGGGACATGCTGACATTTGCCTCTTCCTCTTGTCCCGCAGCAGCACAGGCCTCCCAAACTCCCTGGCCTGCCCTGCCCAGCCCCACCCAGCCCCGCCCCAGCACACTCACAGGATGTACATGATGACCCCCAAGGACCACATGTCACAGGACTTGTCATACTTCTCTGGGCCCAGCACTTCTGGAGCTGCAAATCAAAGGCCAAAATGGGTAGGCCTGACCCTCAGGACACTGTGGTCCACCCAGCTTCTCCATGAATGATGCTCCCCATCCCAGCCTTTCATCCTATCAGGAGGTGGCAGCGGCAGCTGGGGTTCGGGGTGGAACAGCCATTGCCCAGCCCAGGGCTGGAAAAAAGGAAACAGATTACCCTCCTCCAAGAGGAACCCTGGAGCTAGAGCCTTAAGATTTAAAAAAATCCTGCACTGCATGAGACTTTCGGACCCATGCTGCCCATTTAATCTTATAAACATGCTTTGAAAGTTTATTCTGTGCCAAGTTAGCTGAGGCTCCGGAACCAGATCTGGGTCTGAAACTCCACCAAGAATCTGATGGAACTGATGGCTCTTCTCAGGAAAACTGCACAAAATCCTGCCCATAATCTCAGGCAGAAAAGTTCCCACAATTCCTCAGTCCTAGCTCAACCTGACAAGCCCGACTTCTGAGCAGGTCCCATCAGAACTAGCACCAGAAAGGGCTACAAGTACACGACTCTCCTAGGATCTGTGGCTTCCCGAGAAAGCCAAGAGGAGGGGTTGAGAAAAGTGCTGGGGAAAGCCTAGGTTCCTGGGCCTGCTCTGGACTTACCAACATAGTATGGCGTATAACAAGGAGTGGTCAAAGAGTTGTGGCTGGTGGTTTCCTTGGCAAAGCCGAAATCAGTGAGTTTCAGGATGGCGTTTGGCCTCTTGGAGGTGTATAAGAGATTCTCAGGCTACAGAAAGAGAGACAGGTAAGTAACCCTGCATACCTGTGAGCGGCTATCATAAGCCAAAAGGGTAATGGCTCCTCCCTTCCTTCACTCATTCAACAGTCATTTGTCCAGCCCCTACGAGCCACCCACTGTGAGGACCATCAGCTCCATGTAACCAAGTCCCTGCTTTACAGAGTTTGCAGAGAGCTTGGAGGTAAGAGATTGACATTGTGCCAGCAGTAAGCACTACAGCAAAGCCAAGAGTGTGACTAGGAGGTTCTGCTTGAGGAGAACCACAGGGCAGAATGTGGCCAGAGAGGGCCTCCCTACTGGGTTTGTGGGTTTGCCTATGGGCAGAGAGCAGACTACAGGGCAGAGAGTGGCACGCCCAGAAACCAGGCAGCAAGGGCACAGGGTGACTCCAGCAGCCCTCCCTAGTGTAGCCACAGCCCCGCCCCACACCTCCACTGCACCCATGCTCGAGGCATGGATAGCGTATACCTTGACATCTCGATGAGCAATGTTGATTGAGTGTAGATACTGGATGGCCTCGCCTATGCTCTTCATGATTTCTGATGCTTCTGGGGAGGGGAGAGAAGGGGAGTGAGAAAGCCACAAAGACATATGATTTATGAGCTTTGAAAGCCCAGCGCACCAGTCCCAGAAACAAAGACACCAGGAACTGCAAACACAGACATTGGTCCGCTGAGGGCAGTACCCTGGCAGCGTGCTGGGGGAAGCAGCAGCCCCAGCATCCTTTCCCGAGAGCAGGCACTGCCAGGGATCCCTTCAGACCCCCACTGCCCTGCCTGCCCAAGCCTGGCCCCATAACAGACCCTTTCTACCTCTTTCTGTGAATGCCTGGTCTCCTCGGTCCTGGATCCGGCTAAAGAGTTCTCCACCATCCAAACTGAAACAAAGGCACAGTGAGACCTCAGGAGCACAACGCCCACCACCACTCTCCACTGCCCCCAGAAGAAATCAAGCATTTACATTTCAGACTTCAGGGTCCATGCCTGGGCTGTCCTCAGAGGGTGAGGTGCCTGGGTGGGGAGTGGGTACAGACTGGGCTGGGACCAGAACAGCAAGCTGCTTACCACTCCATGACTATCAGCAGGCACTTCCTCCCTGCATACAGGTTCTCGTAGACGTCCACGATACGCACGATATGTGGGCACTGGGAGGCCCGCCAGTGCAGCTCCACCTCTCTGCGGGCCTTGGGGCAGTCCTGAAGCATCTGCAAGCCAAGGGCTTCCTAAGAAACTATACTGTCTCTACAGGGGACAGTTGGCCCTACCCCGCATGGGCCTACTCTAAGCCCCTGGCCCATATGCCCTGACATCGCCACTGATCCACCATTGGTTCCCCACTCCTGCAGATCCCTACCAGACCCCTCGGCACATTCCTTGGCCCCTCCTTGACCCCTCTCGGGACCTTGACAGTTACGGTGACAACAGCCCTCTGGCCATTCAGTCCAGCTGAGCATGTCTCCAGCTTAGGCCATGGTCTATTCTAGAAGGCAAGCAGCAGTCAGGTTCTAGAAGACAGGGAGTGAAGTGGGTATGGGGAGAAAGACAGACTGAGGGAAACTAATACAACTATGGAAAGGAACCTGGAAAGAGCAGAGATTCGCGTCAGTAAGAGAAAGTATCTCCAAGACCACTCAAATCCAGTACACCAAATTCAGAGCAACGTTCCCTCTATCTCTGCAGTTGACTCCAGTCAACCAATAGATGGCCTTGGAAGTTAGCCAGATACTGGTTTAAATTCCAGATCTGTAACCTTGAGCAAGCTACTGAACTCACTGAGCCTCATTTATGTCCCCTGTTCCTCCCTGGACAAATTGGCCATGGGTATTAAAGGAGGTTGGTCCTTTCCACCCTCAGGGGTCTAATCTTGACTAATCCAAGCCAGTCTCATTAACTCCAGCCCCTTTGCTAGTGATTTGCTTGGGAATAAGCCTAAGACTCAACTGGCCAAGAACTTCGTAAGAAATCTGCTGAGAGGTTTCTTAAAGGGAGCACAAAAAACCAGCATCATCCCTCCTGAATATAGCCCCTAGGACCATGACAGTCACCTTGATATCACAAGGGGGGCATAAGAGGATACACCAGTGCACTGAGGTAGGGTACCAGGACAGACAGCAACTACCTAGATCCTTGTTGGCATCACCAAGCATCCCTCACAATTTGGTAAGATAATAAACTTTTGGTAAGATAATAAACTTTCCTAACTGCTTAAGCTGCTTTTTGTGGGATTTTATCTTTGCTGGGAGCCGAAATCATCCTAATACGCCCTTCCTTTGTAAAGTAGGGATAATAGCTTATGTTTCACAGACTTGTAAGGATTAAATGAAATATTTCTGCAAAGCACCTAGCAGAGTGCCTAACATATGCTCACTAATAATAGCTGTCTAAGTGCACAGCATAGATACCAAAACAATTAAGATGAGGACCCTCAGAGACTTACCAGCCCTACACAGTACACACTCCAACTGCTTTGGACATACAGAGGCTGGGGTGTCAGGAAGACAGCCATGCCAGGAAGGACACAGACAGGCAGATAAAAGGCATCCAGGAGTGAAAACAGTAGGAACTGGGCACTGACTGATAGAGATGAGGGGTGGTGATGCAGCAGGGAGGGCTAAGAGACCTCCTGGAAAATGTCTGAAGCTTGTGAATAAGAGCAGACAACAAAGATGGAACCAGACTACAGAGGCAGAGAAACACAGAAATGTCCAACAATAAAGATGGCATGAATTTTGCTATGATCCACAATATGCTGGGTTTTTCCTATGTACAACATTTGCTGTTTACAGAATAAGAAACCTGAGGCTCAGAGAAGCAGCCAAGGCTAGGCTTCTGGGGAAAGGCGGAGCCAGGGTCAGAAGTCAGGTCTGGTAGGCTCCAAAGCCCAAGCCTTTCCACCATATCACCCAGCTTTTAGAGGAGACAAGGCCAAGACTTCTCAGATTGCTCTGCAGAGGCGGCAATTCCCAAACAGGTGTCCAGAAGGAATCAACGACCAGATAGCTCAGTCTCTTCCACAGAGTGGGCTGGAGCCAAGAGATGAAGGAGGCAAGGTCCCCATGGGGTTACACTGCCACCTCGTGGCCGTCTGAGGACAGCACATGAGTCCTGAGTTTTGCCACTTTCAACTTACTTGAATATACCAGAAAAAAAGTTTTACTTTACTTTCCTATGTTCTGGAAGGAGTAGGAAGAGCCTAATTTCATTTGTATGTAATTCAATTCAACAAGCATATACTGAGCTCCTACTATGGGCCATGCATTGTGCCAAATATCAAGACTAGAGGAGTCCGCATCTGAAAGCACTTAGGCCAGTGTGGTGTGGAAGAAGACATCAGGGAAGACACAGAAAATGCTCATAATCTGGTGAGGTCATGTGCTGTAAGAGTGCTACATTCAAAGGATTCGGAGCAAGTTTCCAGAGTGGCCAAGCAGGGAAAACCTCTATCGCCCCCTACAGGCACACAGGAATTGAGGCCCAAAAAGAGGAAGAACTAAAATTGTCAAATGTACTCAAAGGTACCCTATGGCTGTGAATTTACAATCAGGAGAGACTTGGGTTCCCATTTGGAATTTGTCAATTTCTGGCTGCACAGCCTCAGAGAGGTCATTACCTTTCTGAGCCTGTGCCACTTTGATAAGGGGGATAATACCTGCCTGCCTACCCTCCCCCTTATAGCACCACTGTGTCTAGTGAAAGAATGCCTCTAAAAGTACTTTATTATTAGAAAGGCACTCATCAGTGTCAACCAGCAGCATTAGTGCCACAGCACAGGAAACCCCTCCATCAACATCAAGTTGAGCCTGGAGTGTGCCAACACAACCAGTCCAAGTCACGGGCAAGACTGTAAGCTGGATTTCTGTTGTCATCCAGTAACTACAGTCAAAGCATCAGACAGATCCCTGCTCTCACCAATCAGAGATGTGTCCCAAGTCCCAAACCCAAGTGCACAGCCCTCGGCACCCCCTGTACTCAGAGTGCTCACTCACTGCAAGTTCTGCTGTTTCCACCCTAGATCCCTTAGAATGCGTGGCACTAGACAAAAGAAAATTTGCAATAAGAAAGGTTGGGTTCACACTGCACTTCCAGACTTGCACAAATTCTTCACCTGTTTGAGGAGACAGACTCACACAGTACAGGGAACTTGGGCTTTAGAAACACATGCATTTTGAATCCCAGTCTGTACTTCCTGGCTCGTGTCAATCAAGCCAATCTACCTTTCTTTTATTATTATTATTATTATTACTATTATTATTACTATTTCTTTCAGAGAGACAGTCTCACTCTGTCATCCAGGCTGGAGAGCAGTGATACAATCAAAGCTCACTGTAACCACCAACTCCTGAACTCAAGCAATCCTCCCATATCAGCTCCCAAGTAACTAGGATTGCAGGTATAAGCCAATCTGCCTTTCTGAAAAGTTTCCTCATTTGTAAAACTGGACTCAATTCATAAAATATCTTTGAAGGTGCTTCAGAAACTCTACACAGGGTTCTTTTCACTTTTAAGAAAGTTACTATTTTGTATATTTATGCCTTATCTCCCCAACTTGAGTTTCTAAAGGGCAATATCTAATTCAATTTCTGGTTAATCCTCCCCTCTTCCTTCCCTTACCCAAGGCTTAGGAATCTCTGAGCCAACAACCCTATTGCTTCTTCTCCCTACTCAACTCTTTCCCACAGTGGGCCTTTCTCCCAAATGCCTGGTAGAGCTGCAAACAGGTCTATCGTCTCTATCCTGAAGTAGATCGGAGAGTAGTATTTTTAATTTATCAGAGAACAGTAAGAATTTCCCATGAAGAATGGTACTGACATCCATCCAGGCACATATTTATCATAAATTCCTAACTGGATATAAAAAAATCAACCCAAGCAATGAAAGCAAGACTCAAATCAGTCAGCAGGCTGGCTGACGTCATGGGGGCAGAGCCCTGAAAAGCCAAAGCGGCTTTGTAGACAAGTGTGGCACGCAGAAAGTCTGGAGAGAGGAAACCAAGAATGTGCTAATCTGGAGTTCAGGGCTAAGTAAAGAACAGCGGGGGAGGTGGCCTGGCGCTGCAAACCAGAAAGGAGATAGAGAAAGAAAGTTGGATTCCTAGGGCACTGCCAGAGGCCACCAGCAGAGTGAGGCGACAAGTCCAAGCAGAAGTCAAGGCTTCTGCTCTTCTGGCAGGGATGCGGGCAGTGGAGGCCAACAGTCCCCAGACCACAGCTCTGAGGGCCAGAGACTGGAAGAAAGAAGGGTCTTCTCACTAGAAAGCTGCAATCTTTTAGACAAGGTATGCCTGGGAAGGATTGTGAAATATTTCGAGCCCATGCTAAGCCTGGATCCAATATTGACTTACCTCAGCCCCATGCAGTTTGTGCCTGAAACTCTCTTGCACTGTAGAAAAGGTTAGCTATTGCGTGAGCTAGACTGCAGTGCAAGAGGCAAGGCACCTTGCCAACTGTGGCAGGAGTCGGGGACCTGGCCACAGAGCCCACTTCCTAGAGGGAACCTCTCAAGGGGTGGCAGTGAGGGAGATGCAGGAGCTGCCCAAATATGGTTCTGTACTTCTCTGTCTCTGCCAGAAGTTAGGACAGGACCCTTCCTACAATTCATGGTCCCCCTTTTCTCCTGACCACAAGACCTGCCATCATGGAGCCATATGAAGAGCCAGGAATAGTCAGCATTCTAACCTAGATGAGCCAGAGAAAAGGAAAGAAATAGGGCAACCAGGGCCTGAGGCGCTTCTCACCAACATGGTAGATGTGAGGATACTACTGGGGAGGAGCCACTTCACAAGCTCTACTACTTACTAGCTGTGTGAACTTGGGAAAGTGTTTAACCCCTTTGTGCCTCAGTTTCTTTATCTGTTAAGTAGGATAGTTATAGTCCCTACAGCAAGGAGTTGCTATATTAAATGAGTTAATACATTTACCCTCTGTTAATTACTGGGAATGGTGCTTGGTATACAGTAAGCACTGCATTTGCATTTGCTATTATTATTCTGCTCCCTATTCCCCATGTGCTAGAGGTCCCACTGGGGTCAGGCAGCTGGGATTCCATCACACTCCTTTCACTTAAGATGTTATTAATAGCTCTAGGCACTGGGTGGAGGGGTACCCCAGGACACGGGGAGGAAAGCAGGCTTTGGCATCCCAGCCCTGCACTCTCCCCCGGCCTTGCCACCTAAGCTGGACAGCTGGGGGGGAGGGTGCACAAGTAA